TATATATATATATATATATATATATATATATCACAAATTACACCTGACAGATTGAGTGTTGCTCTTACTATTAGGTAAGAAACGAACAGAGCCACCATTCTGACCACAATAGATCCGTGTGAGAAAGTTAGATGGGTCAGTAAGAAGGTCGAGAATTTACTGAACGGAAGGTCCGGGGTTCGAACCCGACCTCTGCCTCTCGAATTCGCCTGTCTAGGCTTGGGCAACCTGACAGTATCCCAGCCCTCGTTCTTCCTCCGGGTGACATGGGAGCTAGGCATCGGATGGGTGTGACAGCTGAACGACAGCACGAACGATCGTAGCATTTGGTGAAAGACCCGTTTCACAAACGAGATATCCAGCTCTTCAGGTGTGCATCCTGTTTGCGAGTGTGATGGTATCCTTCAACCCCGCTCGTAAATTTTTTAAAACAATTTGGCCTTTGATTTAGCCCATTTCAAGCAAATCCTAAGGTCCAAAGCGCTTGAATGGCACATATACTAAGGTTTACATGTAACTGCTTATACTTAAGATTTACTTGTAGCCCATTACAGACAAACCATAGGGACCAAATCACATAAAACTTTAAAACCGCTTCCTGTGCAAGCTGACGAAAGTGAACGTGGTTTTTGATATTCTGTACCGGTCTCTTGCATGGAAAGCTAAGCTTAAAGTTGAGTCGACTCTTGACGTAAGTAATTTTTCCAAATACCGAGTCCCATGTTCGGACGGTATTGAGGTCAGCGATATATAGACGCTGTGAGAATAGAATCAATCGGATGAGTTTTGAGAGGTCGTTGAGCTCCACGTTGCGACGGAGACATTTAAGATAACAGGGAGCATTAAAATGATACATACACGTCCTCCGACAGCGAGAGGGTTTGAGGCCGCTGTGGTCTTGATTTATGATCTTCCAACTATCTTGAGTTTTACGTCGTGATCTCAAGTATGGATACTTAATGAAAGTAAGCGGAAATGTCGTTACTGGCATGAGGCTAACAGGTCTCGGTTTTCACCTGACTTTCGAATGTCAATCCCCTGCGAGTGGACTAGCCGACTTCGGAAATCTCTCGGATACACGTTGTCCAGGCACGGAAATCGGCCACTAGGTACGCACAGTTCGCAATCCAGTGTCGGCTCCTTTGACGGACCACGTAGGTCATGTGGTCTTGATGGACTCCGGTTTTCGGTTGTCTTCGAAGTGAAAAAGGTCATTAGTTAGGGTCCCTGCGCAAACGGCGTCCAAAGCACTATGGACATCGAATGAGTCCAGGTAGGTGTAAAAGGTCATAACAGCATTTCCAGATTGCATTATTCGATGCCTTTTCTAGGTAACGATCTTCCTCTATACGTCGAGAGCACCTTCGACTACTGCAGACGTTATATTTCGCAATCGTACTTGGTGGCCCTGTCAAAGACCTGGATAAACCTGTGTAAACCATTCTGTTTCTTTCCACTACATAATGTTCAGCTGCAAGTAGACTTGGTGGGCACGGTCTACGCGTCCCTGAATTCCTTCTTCATCCTGTAAGTTGAAAACCTGAAGAGATACTTCTATGTAGGTGGAGAAGAACCTGGTGTAAAATCACACCATCAGTTGGATCATTGAGCACAAGTTGGAATTATTTAAAGTTATCATCCAACAGAAGGATGTCATCGGTGTAGTCCGAATTAGCTACCTAGGTTTGGGGGACCCAACCGGATGGTAGGTAATCTCTCCAGTACCCATTCGAGTGACCAACAGAGAGTGAAGCTGTAAAGCACCAGTAACAACAAGCAATCTTGTCGTATGTCAGACAATGCTGAAATCTGCCGTCTCCTCGCAGTGTATTCGGATGTGTACTCTCTCACTCATGAACAATAAGTTTCACTGATGTTTGTGAGCTTCGCAGGGACAGCGCCAGTTAAGGCGATTGTACAAAGTAACTTACGGTTCATGGGATCAAAAGTAGCTTGAAGACCGATGAAGAATGCTGTAGTAGGCTACAAGAATTCTAAACGACCTTCCAATGACGGGTGCAAAGGCAGTATTTAGTTAACACAGCCCCTTCCAGGACTAAATCATCCTTGGTTTTGCCGTGTGTGCTTGTAGGTTGTGTTCGGATAAAACGCTGTGACAATAACATATCAACATCAACAACTCATGGACCATCCTGAGGTGGTTTTGGGAATCGGTAGTAATATTGGGGTAGTCTAACCTGATAACACGAAGTGATTTGTCTAGGTCTAGTAAACTGACTTTTGGCGAGGTGCTGAGTTTCAGGATTTGTAGTCCTCAGCTGAGGTCTGGAAAATTCGCTGCTCTCTGTTTGCTTGGTTACCTGGGGTAATCTGTAGGGCCAAACCTTTGTTCAGATGGCTCCGACTACCCGGAACGAACTTTTACCCAAAAATTACTCTGATATGCCTTCGGTTAAACCACCGTGCTTAACACTAGCGGGAGCCAAAGTGGTTCTTGCGACCAAAGAATTTTCAAGAACGGAAATGCACCTGAGTAATACAGAAACTAGAGAAGGTTCTATATTTTCAGTCATCATACTCTGATAATTTCTCCAATTAGCAGCTCGAATGTAAGTTTCCTTTAAGCTGACGTATAGGATAAATTACACTTTGAATCCAGATGGGTGAGCCTGCTGACATCAGGTAAATGCGCTGGGAAATACGCTGGCATTAGTTACTTATTATCGATATATTGGGAATCACCGCGTAGTGGCTTCTTGTTTCAGATGCCACCACGGTGATTCATTTACAGTTACAGAGGACATTCCCGATGTGAGGATTAATTTCACTTCCTTAGCATTTATTTGAGGAAAAAAAACTTTCAAGAGCTACATGCTGAGGAGGAGGAAACTGACATTTAACGAATGTCTGATCGGAAACAAGGCGCATGTTTCAGATATACCGGCCAGCAATAATTGAGCGTCACCACTGGTTGAAAATGTCATCATGAGTACTGAATAAAAGTACTTATCAGAAACTGAGGTTAATAAGGTATCGAGGACGGCACATTCAGTGTCCGCTCAAATTCAACGACCGGGGATTAAACACTGACTTTCGTTTCGGTCAGAATGCCATAGCCCATTTGAACTTCCCTATACTACAAAGTTAAACACATATTCCGTGTGCTTTTAGAACACTCATTGTTCTTCTGTTCATTTTGCGAATTTTGCTGCTGGTTTAAGTTGCCACCCGAGCTAAGAGGCGTCTACCTCACTGTTACGGACGGATGCTACTAAATTCATGTACTCTGCCTCTTTTTCCCTCTCTCAAAGATCCTTCAAATTAGCAACACATTACGTGCGTACGCGAACCTGTTCAGTGGAATGAGCAAGCTTGATACAAATGCCTGGAAAGCTCACCATAATTTTTTGCAGCTAGCAGAAGATTAGATACTTAGACCCCACCTGAATTATACTGCCGACCTCCCTAACCCACCCTAACACGCATCATATGGGTCCTTCTGCAGCCCCCGTACCCTCGTCACATGCGCCCACAGCCATCAGCATTGCTATTGGTGATAGGACCGAAGCTATGCTGTTGGACGCAATTTCGTTCTGCGAGAATCGCAAACTCTTACGAAATCATTAGAAGAAGATTGGTGAGATGAGGTTGAGCGGCATGAGGCGAAGGAAGTAGGAATAACAAAAGAACGATTGGAGGCACCGACTGTCTCATTCGCCTGCGACGAACCCTTAGGGTTAATGAAATCATTTGACCGTCGATATGACGTCGAATTTTTCTGCTTTTCTGTTTCGCAAATATTTGGTGTGAATCACGATACCTAAAAACAGAAATACTACCATTGGCTTCTTCAGTCTGATGGTGATGCATAGCGATTTTCCGGTCTGAGTGGACAAGTTCAATAAAAACAACATCCCCTGTTGCGTTTTTATTTGCGCACAGTAGGAATACTAGTATTGTATAAGTCGCCAAAAACTTAGTTTTCATGCTGTTATGGATGTTTGGCGGAGCGAATGCGTTTTTACACTGTTCGATCGATGGTGCACGATGCTACTGAGTTCTTAGTAGCTTACTTGTACGACTACTACATGAGTGTCAACTCAAACGAGGTTTCAAGTATACCTCAAGCAGGCTAAGTATTGCGGGTCATAGACGTTGGTGTTTTGCTCACCACAAAACCGCTCCCACCTTTGTTCTAGCAACCCCTCTCCACGCATACATGTGTCACACACCGGCTTATGCAAATCATTCGCGTTAGCCACAAACCAATAGCGCAACTAGGTCAAAGGTGATACGGGTTTGTGGGCGTAAAGACAGGATATTGGTCGATAGACCAACGCTATGGATTGGCTGGTTTAGCGGCAGTTGCGATGACACACGCACATACAAAGCGGACAATGCTAGGGGAGCAGAATGAAATTCCTGCTTCAGGCGACCATGTTTTGAATGCATGGTCTAGGTCAGACCCGCTGGACTGCAACCATGATGACTGAGGCAAGACTGACACCTAAGCAAGCCTTCCAAGTCCCAAAAGCATTCCACACGATAAGGGACGGAAAGAAGCCAGTAGACTGACATATGAACTGAGCCTGCAACATTGTGACAGTACATAGTTTAGTTAAGGTCACCATGGGAACCAGTAGACTAGTAACAGGTACTATAACCGAATAAGTGCGCTATTTTGAGGAACACCATTTCAATTACTAATGGTTATTAATCAGACGGTGCAAGACAAGTGAAAGTCAGACCAATTTCAGCTCTTTTTTCAAAGAAAGCCAGATTGTAATAATTCGTTACACTGATAAACTCAACGTACTTCTCCACCAGCATGAATGATATCAGTAGGTGGTAAACTAAATATGTGTAAATTATCAGTATTATTCAAGTTTGCCGAAAGTCTAACCTTTGCCGATTTACTTTTCTGTCAGTTTACACAGGAGAAGGTTGATTAAGTTTGATTTGAGTTTTACATTCTCGCCTGAAAAGTATGTAAGGTGATGTAAACCGAATAATCCACGCACAAGTATCACGATGATTAAGTTGTGATAATGACTAATGACTACTCCAAACCCTACTGTGTTTGCTTGAGAATGTGTATCGTACTCTTGTTCCGTAGCAAAAGGTAGTGCGGTTGTCATTTAACACCACGTACGGTAATCAAATTGAACAACTCAGCGAATAAACCACCAACTATCTTGGCTACCTGAGCTACGAACGTCCTCCTCTATAGCAAACTGCGGTCTCAGTAGCAGGTCGCTTACTAAAAGAACAAAATCGAAGTGCTCATATAGGTGGCCAATGTGGCATCTGTCGAAGATAAGTTGCTGCCTTTAAGTGAAGATATAATATCTCGTTAAGAACCATCATCATGCCTATCAATTATGACTGACCGTCCCATCGGAGTAAGTGTGATTGTTGTGTAAGAAGGATGACACAAATGTGGAAAGAAACCGCACTCCATCGTTCATGATTACACAACAGCTGCGTTCAGCGTCCTGTCACTTGTCCGTCATTGTGAGCATTCCTGACCAGCAGTGTTTGATTACACGAACAGTGATTTCAGCATCATCCCTTTTGTTTGGTGTATTCCTGAAATTCCCCCTTATTTTAGTGGTTGTCTATATGGACAGACCATTTTAATTAGATTAAAATCGTACTCCATATCACTCCATAGCCAGAACAGTGCCAGGATGTACAGTGCTTCATGACAGCTTTGAACCCTGAATAATCAACATCCCAGAGTATCGGATCAGATCGCCTGCTCATTGGGTATTTAGAGTAGTCACCTGGTCAGCTGTCTAATGTCAAACATTCTCTGAGGGACAGAAGAGAAATGTGTCCAGTTTAAGGGAGGATTCCAGTGAAGAAAGGGAAAATGGTGCATCTGAAGTAAAAACTTTCCGTAGATACAATTGTTCCCGCTCCATTCCACAAAGGCATACACAAAACACACAAAACACTATGGCAGCCAATGAACAAGCTGAATCTGAATAAAAGCTCTAGGTTGCCGTCTATATAGGCTTCCTATAGACTCATCCTCATAGACTCTGAACTCGAGATGGCTCAGTGGTTAGAGCGCGAATTTACTGACTGGAAGATTCAAGGTTCGAAACCAACCTCCATATCTCGACTGGTCTTGCCTAAGCTTGGGAACCCTGGCAGTATCTCAGCCTTCGTGCTTCCTTCGGTTGACTGGCAGCCAGACACCCGAAGGTTGTTACGGCTGAGCGAGCAATTCAGCTTGAACTACTAATCGATCTTGTATGAGACGACCAGTTTAGTGCAACTTTGCATAAATCTATATCACAGTGAGAAACAAGGGTATAAACAGTGTTCCTTCACTCGCACCATCAAGGAAACCCTTTTAAAAAGACATGCCTACTAGGGAGACCACAATTTATTGTCAGATACATGCTAGAATCAATGCCCACATCCTCTGGTGGCAACAGCTACTAGTGTGCTTTTACTTCAGGAGGCAAAATTTCTTCCATAAAATTAGCAAGAAGTTCACGGCGAAATATGGAGCCTCGGGGTAGGAGAGGCTTCTCGGTGCCAGCCTTTCTAGAGAGACTCCTGTTACCAGTTCATTCAACTGCCGCTGCAGAGTGAGCCCACACCATATGCTTTCGAAACGAGGCAGACCAGACTTGAACATCATCCTTGCGGCATATTGCTTCGGAAATAAGGAAAGTTTGCCTGTTTTTATCCAATATTTGATGTTTGCTAATTTGCATAGCACACTGGAAATCAACTCAGAGAAAGAATTTAGTTTATACCTGCAGGGAGCTTCTATTATTGTTTTGGTTGTTTTTAACGTTAGTACCTTGAAGTCGTTTCACCAAACCAACCAGATCACACGATAAGTCACTGTGGATGAATCACTGAGCGGCTGATTCAGTTGTATGAATCATGAAAACACGTATTTTTCCAGCCTCCCACAAATAATTTCGAGTAATGTTTTTTTCATTCTCCTCGTCAGACTGTGGGAGTGCGGACTTTCTAGGAAAAAAAACATTCTTGAGGGAGACTACTAGAGAATAGACGAAGTGTCTCTCTTCAGTCGGATATTAAGAGATTCGTGTGAAGCTGAGCTACTAACCAATTTTTTGACTAGCTGGATAACACTGGTATATGGCTACAGCTAATCCGCATAGATCATTATATTAATAGAGCTGTACAGGAGTAAGCTTAACCAAAAATGTTGACAGTCGCGCGATTTGAAAGCCAGCATGTTGGCACTTATTAACGTCTGTATTTTACTGACACGTTATGACGGACAATGGAGTTTATCGAAGTGTAGCTGGACAGCGTGCGGTGTTCTGTTGCTTCAGCAGCCTTAGCGTACGATCTGTAGGTCAGTATAAAATATATGTTCCGTGCTGAACTGCAATCTTTCATTTAATAGTTTAGCTAAAGTGGTTGGCGGAAGTTTCACTTCTGATTCTGACTCCGACAGGTCATGCTTCCGCTGCTCTTGTTGTTGACAACTGAGAGTCTAATTTGGTAAAGCTGAGACATTTCCTTATCGGAAAAGATTTCCCAGGGTGGCCCTGGAGATTCCGAAGACCCAACCGCAGAAGCTTGTTAAAGGACAGTTTTAACCTCCCTTCAAACGGAATGCAGCACGGCCAAAGGCGACATTATGCAAGTACACCTTGACCCACCTAGCATCTCTAGTTCGACTAATCTAGTGGACTAAGCACGTCGAAGCAAACTCAAACAGTCAGCACCATACAACATAGAATAAATAGATTTGCACTGTCATTAAACACCGCCCTTAGGAATCACTGGCGGCTGAAACCAAAGACACCCCAGGTTCTAGAATGAGCGAATAGGCAACGCCGAAGGGTTTTTGTTGATCTTATGCACGAGAGTTCAAGTGCTAAAAAACGATAGGTGCTGGCTATCATAGGTAGGCAGGAGTTCCACAATGCACTATTTATTCACATATGTAGACCTTATCAACAGCCTATGCAACTTAACTCACTCAACACCGCAATGACGACATCAATTCGACTGGTGACTGCTAAGCTCGTCGAACAGTCCGACAACCAAACTTAACCATATTACCTGTGCAAACCCGAAGAATGATCAGCTGAGTGATCAGCTTGAGGTTATCCACTATCGGTCGCCTTCCATGGTACGAGAATATTATCATGCCAGGGCGATGAGGTCATCAAGTCTAGCTGAAAATCCCTGTCCAGACTATACTACTGAAAGGGTTTCGTCATATTACGCAGCTAATAAACGGAGCAGCATATTGTGGGAAAAGATCTCCTCGAACCCCGAACTGGGGATGTTCGCGACAAACAGCCGCTGTCTGTGTGGACTTGGGTTCTATTTTGTAACTCCAGGAGGAGAACTTCCTCCGGCAGAATTCAGAATTTGAAGAAGAAAAAGAACACTATATGGGGCTATCGAAGAGTTTTCAGCAAACTTGTGAGTAGTTTCCTTCATGAAAATATACTACCATATCTCGAATATCGTGTCAACTGAATAATGAGGTGGCCTGTGTGCAGCATATTCAGTTGTTCGATATCATAAACGAAACATTCAGTTGAGTCTCTCTTGAAAACCAAATTGATTTGCAAATGAGTGTATCTCTCGAAAACACTATACGGAGTTTGTTAGGAAACCTAAATTGAAGTGTGGTTGAACTCTGGGCTGACTGAAACCTGGCTGAAACCCAGATAAAACTGGGAACCACATCAGAAACCGTGGTGTTCAAATTTTTCAGCAAGCACATATGCCATCATTGTGGTAGTAGTTAATAGCTCCAACCTCACCTCGCAAATCATGCCAAAGCGAGCCATCTTGAGTTAATTATTAGCACTTCGTTCAGCTGTAGCACCCTTTCGGTGCCTAAGTGCCATGCCACACGAGGTAGCCACGAGGACCGGGATACTTCCAGGTCTCACAAGCATAGACAGGGCAAGTCGAGAGGCAGAGGTGGGGTTCGAACCACGAACCCTCCGGTCAGTAAACTCGAGCTCTAAGGTCTTGGTCTATCTCGCCCTAGCACTTACCAAAGGTTAAAACTGATTTCTCAATTATTGACAGAGTCAGCAGAAATATTATTAAAATTCCAACTAGAGCATTAGTTTGACGTTACCTCATGCACTTTGTTCCATGATAAAATGTTTCTCGGAGAGAGTTTAAAGTTTCTTTTGCGTAGAGTGATATCGAAAGTTGAACTCAAAACAACTAGGAACGAGTAAGAACATCCATACCCAAGCAGAAGTAGTATCTGAGGGATAAGGCCACCGAGCGGGTATGGAAGATCTAATGGACTTTATCTATCATAAATTGAATTTTTCAGGGCCAACAAACATGTCCATTTTGCTGAGAATTCAACCGTTTGGAGAAAAGAGGAGTAGAATATGATTCGTGCTGCGGAGAATTCTCCGATTCTGGTAAAAGTTGATGAGAGAAACCAACACTATATCTGAGAATCTTCAACTTTTCCAGTTCGACAGGTGTTCGTATAACGCAACAGGAGTGAAGTCATTCATCTTCATTGTGTGGCTCTCCCAAGAGTACTTTAGTATAGGTGAAGCTTCGAACGCAGTATGTTCTACAACTGAAGCCTTTTGGCTTCAGTTGCGGGCTTCTATTCTTGTCTACGTTGTGACTTATTCAGCTGTATACAAATCATTCCTGATCATGTGGACGGAGCAAGACCGCGTGAACCACTTACGAACCAAGTTGTTCACCAGGAGCGCTGTGCTAAATCCATGCACGTACTCATGTATGAAATCTATCTTTACCATAACCATAAGCCCTCACAATGAGGTAAGCTATGCAGGTCTCCCCGAGGAAAGAAAAGAGTGCTTAAGCCAAATTTTTTGTACTAAAACGGGATCAACCGCATTTCAACACATCTCAAAAGAGTAACAGCTTCGACAAAACGAACCCTTTTTGCACGACCCCAGTTGTATATTAGATGGCCGTTCAGAATATTCTGTCCCAGGCAATTGGACAAATGCCTCTCAGCCTGAAGAATAAAAATGGAAAACTCCATATTGAAACCTTCTAAGGCAGTAACTCTTGTCCTGCGGTGCCTGAGTAGTTTCCTTTATGAAAATATACTGCGTTATCTCGAATATCGTGTCAACTGAAACATGAGGCGGCCTGTGTGCAGTATATTCAGTTGTAGAATTTCAGCTGAATCTCTCATGAAGATCAAATTGATTTTCAAATGAGTCTGTGACTACTCACATCAATTCCTCTTATTGTCGCCAAAACGATAACTAGATATAATTTATTACATGTGAAAGTCACTTGCTATTAGTATCTTTATTTTGACCGCAGATTTGTTTTGAATATTATTTCGTGAATGTAAAAACGAATCGCCTTGATGATTCAATGTATGTAGTTATCACATCCTTAATCTCTAGTAGAACTTCATGACTTTATTTCACATGTATGACAAGATTGCACTATAGATGCCTGGACATTCTGACTAATAAACAATTACCTTCTGTCTAGTTGAGCTGGCAGAAAAATCAAAAGAACCGTCCATTAACAAAACAATTAGAATAACTTAGGTAACTAAAAACCCTCTGTGAATGAAGGACACGAGCAAGATGAACTTACCTTGTTTGTCCGATGATTGTGAGCTTGCACCAGCCTCTTGTTGTCTAGCTTTTGAACATAAGGTTTCGGCATCAATAGGTGCTGCCGTTGTTAGCTGACCACTAGTCTCATCCACTGCGAATAACCTTGAAGGTGAACCAAATCGATATTTTAGAGGAGGACCCATGTAGTGCGGCGCAATGGGAATGACCACAGTTCCGAGTTCCGTACCTACTGGGCAGTTTTCGTCTATACTGAATTCGACTGTCCGTTCTTGTATTCGCCATGGAAGGATCTCTCGGTGTGCGGATGCCCCGGTTTCGAACAGCCAAAGGATAAGCAGAAAAGCCGAAGCGAGTAGGCTACTCAACTTGGAAGATCGATTGACATGGTGACCTTGCCAATCGGTCATATTCTGACTCAGAAATCACTGGGTTCTGTACGGGAGATGGAAGAGAAGTTGGAAATACCAATGAATTGACGCTCCAGTTCGTCAAGTGCTGGCGGTTGTGTGCATTTTAGTCGTCGAACCGTGACCATTGTCGTCAGGGTGGCCTGCACACAATCACATGCGGACAGACAAACCAAACACCCTCACCCCTCCGATATCGCCTTCCTACCACTAGGTGCGCCAGATTGTGTCACTCCAAGGCTGTCATCCAATCAGAAGTGAGACAGTCAGCTAGGCTACTCTCACCCGCTGATGTCCCCATGTCGTTGACCAAGTCCGCGCTGGGTCTGCTGCGAACCTGTGCTTTCGCCCTGTAGCAGCTAGTCTATCCCAAGCCATTAACTCTCCTGAAAACAGAAGGGACCTACATGACAAAGAGCTGCTCTGGGCATACCGACAATTGTCGTGCGTCACGGTTTCTACTGCAACGTAAGTCTGGTCAAATTTTATCAGGTTGTGTTTGTTTACGAATCTATGGCTGACTTATGTATCGCTGCGTCAGTTTCAACCGAACTCACCTAGCTGCTGACCGAATAATGCCAAAATGTGGACACCAAAAGTATAAAAACTTGGCGAAAAATTGTGGTCTAGTTAGGTACAGCACTTTCTATGGTTGCATCCGTCTGACCGACCACTAATGGAATGTAATTTATGAGGGGATTGATACCTGCCTCATGCCACCCAAAGCGTGATCTCTGACAAAAAGACTTTATCAATATATTTCTGGTTTTCGGGATAAGCAAGGTGTAAATTAAGGATCTATCACTACCAATAAATTTGTAAGAGATTACAAACGCATTTCAAGTATAGCTCATTGTTTCCACCAGTAGGATATCTTGAGCCCCTTTGTCCGCGTAATCGGGACGTGGCACTGGGAGGTGTAGCAACCTCCAATACGAGCACTTTCAGTAAGCCAATTAATAAGGACTACGTTTAAAAGTTGTTTCTGGGTAATGTTTCACTGTCTAGAAATTCTTATATAGCTTCGCAACCTGTGACATCATCAGGCAATGTCATTTTTATTTTATCCTCGGTGTAGCGACGAACAAGCTTCCTTTAAACCCGTTCCACATGTACGTTTGCTGAGTAAGCTTTGTTCGATATGACGTAATTTCCTGAAAACCTACTTGTCAAAAACATCGAGCAATGAGATTATTGATTCCTGTAACTGGTTAGCGGTTTTCTGGAACAAAATATTGACCTCACCAATAAAACAGACACACGGCCGTGTGATAAGATGGCTCCGATGGAGATGATGTATGACGGAGAATTGTGGTCAAATTAGATCTGGAACACACAGAAACGTTTAGTGGTAGCAGATGTGTGGTTCAGTGTGCCCAACAATGAATGAGCGTTTCGTGATGCTGATCCTAATTCTTACAGGAGTCTTTTAAGCCGACCGTGCATCCACACTATCATTAGTGAAGCAGATCAACACTCACGCAGGTTTACGGTGGATGACCTATTAGTCAGTCAGTCGTCTCTTTAACGATCTATCAGGGATCATGATTTGATCACTTTTTATTGGTACTGTTTCCGTTGTCGGAACGACTTCACTCTTTGAGTGGAGTAATCCTCCAACAAAATGTTCTCAAAATATCGGCTAAGAAATCCAATCTATCGGCTTATCCCTCGGAAGGTTCACGTCCATTGTTGCAACCGTGCAACATGTTCACGTCCTGATTAATATGATTAGTTTTTCAGCGTTTCTTTCAGTAACCTAGTCGCTTGGAGTTCATGGTGTGCTTTATTCACCAGATGTGGGTACTGTAAATACTAGCTGGATTAGGCGGCTATGCTTCGGACGGGTGGTCGATGCCTAAACATTGGAGTGTCGGCTAAAAGTGCACGAGTTTGAACAGATAATAAGGACAAAGTGATACCTTCTCCTCCTGGTGTTTTATTGGGTTTGGTTACCTTTTATATTAGGATGTTTTGACAGTTACAAAACAACCAACGTTCCATTCGTGAACGAAGAGTCAGTCGTGCACTCCACTGAGTGACAGGTTATTGCCCCTCCTGAGTGTGACTATTCTTCGGTAGGAGTAAGTGGCCGACATGAGGCGCTTATATACGGATTATCTAAAAGGGTTGTCTGTCTTCGGGTATATAACTGGGAGATAACTGCATGATTAAATCAAGCCTTGCTGAATGCTACCTTTGTCTTCATAGTATGGGTTGTTGGGAGCCCGACTTATGCCTGACCCATACATCTATGATCACTTTACTATCTGGTTTATTTATTCGTCTCTCGTTAAGGAGTTGGCCTCGAAAAAGATCCACCAGACTAAAACTCCTCCAGGATGCAATATCCGGGTTCCTATATCACTCATACTCGGTCTAAGTTCTGCGGAACCCACTAGCCCTGTAATTCTTATCCCCCATTTGGTGTAAAAAAACGCTAAGAAAACTCTGTTCTATTTATTCTACA